TGAAGGGGTGTGTCTCATTTGCCTAGTCTAGTACTACAATTCGGCATTGGTTTGAAGTCCCTGTGTCACATGACTTGGACGCTATTGAAAAAAAAAGGCATTATTTTACATAAATTACGAATAAATATTCATATAAAATAAAAAATGCACTCAAATCAAATATGAAGGGGTGTGTCTCATTTGCCTAGTATAGTACTACAATTCGGCATTGGTTTGAAATCCCTGTGTCACATGACTTGGAAGCTATTGAAAAAAAACAGCACTTTTTTCCATAAATTATGAATAAATATTCATATAAATTCGAATATGCACTCAAATCAAATATGAAGGGGTGTGTCTCATTTGCCTAGTCTAGTACTACAATTCGGCATTGGTTTGAAATCCCTGTGTCACATGACTTGGAAGCTATTGAAAAAAAACAGCACTTTTTTCCATAAATTATGAATAAATATTCATATAAATTCGAATATGCACTCAAATCAAATATGAAGGGGTGTGTCTCATTTGCCTAGTCTAGTACTACAATTCGGCATTGGTTTGAAGTCCCCGTGTCACATGACTTGGAAGCTATTGAAAAAAAACAGCACTTTTTCCATAAATTATGAATAAATATTCATATAAATTCGAATATGCACTCAAATCAAATATGAAGGGGTGTGTCTCATTTGCCTAGTCTAGTACTACAATTCGGCATTGGTTTGAAGTCCCTGTGTCACATGACTTGGAAGCTATTGAAATAAATAATGATTTTCCCATAACACTGTTCTCACAATTGTAATTTATTGACGGTCCCTAAGTTAACCCCCGTTGGTTAAAAGCGAGCCATCAGAGGTGAGCTAACCGCACTTATACAACCGTCACTGGGTGAACTGACTAAAAAGCCGTCACGATCCTGGGTGAATGTCTGTCGAATATCCAACTTAAAACTAACTTCACCGCGGTACTAATATACTACTCTAACATTCCTCTAAGGATTTTAAGTGTTATTTATAGTGACTTTGTTCTTCTGTGGTATTTTAACAGGTTAATACACCACAAATTTGAAAGCTCATGTAACAACAAAAACCCTGACAGAGAAGTTTGCAACCAAACATGATCATATGAGGTTTGTGTTCCTGCAAAAAAGAAGGGGAAGACTTGTGCTTAGAATTACAGGGCATGACCTTCAGTCAGTGATCACCAGGAGCACAACCATCCTTCTTTTAAGTGCTTATTCCAACATAACTAACAATACTTTGATTCTATAACACGGTGTGCACTCTCAATATTATCAAGATTAATATTAGCATCGCTTTTTACTATGAGTTGGAGGTGGATTTAACCTCCACACAGGGTTATTCGCCACATGAAGAGATACACAGGTTGTCAAACAGGACAGTAAATACAGAATCCTAAAGCGGAGGGAAAAGGGAAAAACAAGAAACAGATGTGCACACAATAATCTACCTCAATGTCTGGAAGATCTCTGCTCAACATGATGTCTAGGTTGAGGAAGGAACGTCTGTAGGTTCTTGTAGGTTTCTGGATTAGAGGTCCGAAACACTGTCCGGGACTGCTCTGCTCCCAAGTGGAAGTTTCCGAGAGCTGACGGTCCTTATCAGGCCCACTCCTCTCTGGTAGACAACGGCTTGACTCGTGAAAGCCACCGAACCTTGTTTTTTTCTCCGGCTAAGCTGTTGATAAGGCAGACAGACAGACAGAGCTGATATCGCTCTCCGAGGGTCGAAGTTCTGGGCAGCCGGCAGGTTTCTGGGTGCATTGCACCTGAGCTCGGGTAAACTATAAACTGGACATGGTAAAGTCCAAACTCCAAGTCTGGCGAGGGGAGTGCAGCCCAGCATACATTTTTCTTTCATGTGCACACGTGTGTTTAACTCCTTCCTGCAAGGATCCTCCTCCACTTTTCCTTTTATGGAGGCACATCACTTACAAGCACTTAAAGTCTATAAGGTTGTTTCTGTGCAAGTCAAAGTTCGGTCAAATACCAGAGCCAGGAGGAGTGGCATATCTAGAGAGAAAACATGGTCTGGAAGGCATTGAGGCAGTTTTTACCTTTTGTCTTCAGATAAGTCTCCTTCTGTCTCATCTTTCTTACTCGCCCTCATATCATGATCTCTTTCCCCTGGCAGTTTGTCGTCCTCTGTCTCTCCACTCAGCGTCTGTGGCCTCTTATTTCTGTTCCCCTCTTTCACGCCTCTTCCTCTGTTCCTCCTACGCTGTCTTCTGTCCTAACTTTCACTTCCTATGAGCAGGTCAACCCAGCTGCTCTGACCTAGAGTAGTCAAGATGTAAAAGCATATATGGGTTAAAATCTGTTTGATATTGTAGGATCAGCTATAATCAATAGCTAGGTACAGACTGTGTTTATGTGCTCACATAAACAGACTGATGCTAATTTTAAGAGGTAGTATTAGTTTACGTGGTTTAATTATAAAAAACACCATATTTTTGTCGTTTTCAGTCAGTTCAGAGATGGGAACTCCCTTTGGGCTGGACTTTGGGCTTTTTCACTTTGCAAACCTATTACATGCACAGAAAAGGTATATAACTCAATAAAGGAGAGGGGGAAAAGCCAAAATGCAGAATACCACCTCTTTAAATCATTTATATGCTAATCAAATACTGATAATTGATCTTCAGCAAAGGACAGACTCTGTAGTTTGAAGATTTTATGGCGTCCTGGAGTACACCTTTATCTCACTGCAACAATAACTTAAGCCACCTGAGGTCAGCAAAAACAAGAAGTGATAAGTTACTCTTGACATCCCCAAAAGACCTTTACTAAATAAACTGACAAGCTCCTGTCTTGTAAAAAATTCAAGACTTAGGCAAGATAAAAAATCTTGAACTTTTACCAACATGTTTATTCTCAACAGAAATAGACACCAGTTAGAATACAAAAGTTTCACCGGAGAGGGTCAGAGATCGATGCAAAATAGTCCCATTGTTTTACCAGAACAGAGACCCGAGTTGACATGAAACCATGTAACAACTGACTGTCACCTTCTTTTGGACCTCCTTTTATAGCTCTGTTTCTTAGCATTACATAATCTCTTGGCTCTCTTTCCTGCTGCACCTGGATCTGGGAAAGTCGCAGATATGTGGCTGTCTCTCTTTTCTCATCATTTTCTGACCTTTCGGCATTTGGTGGATTTTTAATCACTTTTATTTCCCTATGATTGTTTTGTCTCTCTTCTCTCGGTTTTCCAGCCTTTCAGGATTTGTTGAATAAGCTGGTGTCTTTTGTGCTGTCCTATTTCTTACTGTGCACTGTCTTACTATGCTCCCTCACTCACATATTTGTTTACACAGACAGAGCCACACCAGTTTGCCCTGTGTATCTAGTTGTGTCATCTTCCATTATTCTGTCGTTTAATGTAGACTATTCTGTTTTGGCTGAAGATTCTGTTGTATTGTCTATCAGACAAGAGCATTTTAACACAACATAGCCTTCGGGCTGCGTTGTTCACACGTGAATGGTGTATTTTTTTTATTTTTTAAATCCTATATGTTTACGTGCATTGTCACACAGAACTCACATCTGAAAGAAAAGTCCCCCATCGTGCAGCAAAGGGTGTTACACACCTTCAACAAGCCCGTGTGACACCAAAATGTGTGACCTATCAGATTCTGTGACCCAGATGGCAAGTTAAGCGCCAGAGGCTTTGTGGACGATGTGAAGCAGCTACAGTTTGGTTGGGTTTAGGCACCAAAAGTACTTGGTTATGGTTAGGAAAACATCGTCATTTGGGTGTAGTCACAGAATCTGATAGGTCACAGATTTTGGTGTTACATCGGCATCGGTTCTCACTCTGCATTGGAGGGTTTAACAACCTACTACATTACATTTACATTTATTCATTTAGCTGATGCTTTTATCCAAAGCGACTTACAATTGCTATACATGTCAGAGACGCCTCTGGAGTAACTAGGGGTTAAGTGTCTTGCTCAGTGGTCCACAATGGTGGATGTGTCCCACACCAAAGGCAAGCATCTTATCTATGCGCCATCACCACCCCACTACCACTCTGCCCTCGTTGGTTTCGGATGGCACTCAATGCGTTGGACCCTCTGCATGAACGGAGTAGTATGTAGCTGCAGTACCGGAGGCTGCAGTTTCAGGACCGCAATTCTAGGACCGGAACTGCATTTCTAGGACCCTTGTTTACTTTGATACTGCCAGCTAGCTAATCGGCTAGCCGGCTACTCTTGACAGCCCCCCGAAGCCAACAACCATCACAGAGTGTATGCCTACACATAAGTTACTGATTATATCCATGTCGACCGGTTAACCCTACAGCTGCGCACATCGGCCTCACGGCCTAGCAGGCAGGGTTAACCTCCTTCGTGTTGCCACTCCACTAGATGGCCTTGTCACAAAACAACTACGTTTCTAGAACTGCGGTCCCAGGATTGCGGATTCTGGGGTCCTGAAACTGCAGCCTCCGGTACTGCAGCTACATAATATTGGGTGAACGCGCAAACTGAGTGGAAGTATGAAGGGAGAGGGAGTAGCAGGTACTTTCGGAAAAGGCCTTGGCAAGATACAGGGCCAAGATAAATCAGATTTGCGGCTCGAGACATTAGAGGACCCGCTGGTCTCGATAGCAGTATCGATAAGCTCGGACCTTAACTTATTAACATTATGATGTTGAACAGGGTCAGATTATTGAATCTAGTTTGTCATATAATGGTGACATTCATTACTGACTTAGTTTGACTTCATTTTTGCACAGAAAAGCTTTTATTTTTTCCGCCAGGTGCAGGAAAAGCTCTGTCGCTCCGTTCTACTGTAGAAAGCAGTCCTGTGCCTACAGTTTTTGCCAAAGTAGGCATTATTAATTAGAGATTTTCTTTTAATTTCTTTCCCAGCTTTGCATAAAAATATTGATATCATGATATAACGGGCAAAGGTCAGGAACATTGTTTTCAGTCGGTCAAATTAATGATCCTAAAAGTTTTCACTACTGCACTTTGTGATTAAAGCAACAGACACTTTGTAGAAATGGCACAAACACTTTATTTGGTGTGTGTGTGTGTGTGTGTGTGTGTGTGTGTGTGTGTGTGTGTGTGTGTGTGTGTTAAACGTCACTGAGATACAGCATCGAGGCAGCAGTGGCAAGCATGGCGACAGCAGCGGCCATTGCAACACCTAAAAAACACAGAGGAAACTGAGTGCAGCGCTTCACAAATACAATCACACATCATGCTTTTAATGTTGTAATGTCAAGAAGTCGATTGGTAACAAATTAAAAAGCGTGACCGGTATATCATAGTAGATTTATTATTTTAGCACAGTACTTATTGCCAGATAAGGCCCTAACACTAACACACACTGTGAGAAAAAAGTGTACACAGTCTGCAGAATGATTTGCTTTACTCGACTCTTATAGTGAGGAGAATCTTTCTAAAACTAAGTGTAGGCGTTTGAGAGGAAAGTGTTTTACCAATGTAGCTGTTCCTCTTGGGCTCCCGCGCTTCAACAGTTCCCACAATGGGCTCTGAAAACAAAAAACAAAAAAACACACAACTTCATACAATAATTTACCAACAAAAATAACCTGGAAATCAGACATATTTACATTTACATTGACTGTAATAACGGTCTGGAGGGCATCTTTAATATTCTTCTACAAATTACACAAATTTTCAAAGACAGTAGGCAAAACAAATAGGGTTCATATAGATGAAAGATAATAGCTAAATTTAACTATGGTTTTTAAAATGTGACTGACCATTAGCGGTTCACAGCTGATGCCATCACCAGTCTCAATATAAACCTCACCTCTGGTTCCACTGCCCCTGGGGCGAGTTCATTCTCAAAATGTCTGCGACGTTTTTGGATTGAACCAACATGTTTCCTTGAAACGTTGTGCAACGTTCTGCAACGGGCTTCGAGGTATGCTTTATCCCCTTTGGTGTGCGTGTCACAGGTGTTTAACAGGATGTTTGATCTCTTGCTGAGGATTGGCTGAATCAAGTCCTGCCTACTTTGATCCCGCGTTTGTGGCTTGGTGGGAAGACTCTGGAGGACAGTTCTTGTAGTACTGTGCACACTAGAAGGGTTTTTACCTCTCTGTCAGTGTCACACTGCCTTTTATCACTGGAAAGCAGTTTTCCCGAATTTTAACAGGACGGTCTGGACAGAATTTAATCTTTTTTTGTCCCCAACAAAGGAAATTCAGATAAAAAATTTACACAGATATTATCCTTACAATGAATTTATTCAAGTTTAGATCTGATATGTCCTTTTTATGCTCTTTTTGTGAGTCAGAGATCGTTTCCTCATTTATTTTACGAGTGTACTTTTCCATATGATTTTTGGTTACAAATCGTATTATTAATATGGGAATCTCATAATATCTTGGTCCCTTTATCTGAAAGTATGGTCTTATTTTTGACTGTGAAACTGCTGATCTGGTTAAGTTGTTATGTTTTCTGAGTAAACATCAATAATATTAAATTGCAAAAAGCAAATTGTATGCAGTGTGTATATATATATATATATATATATATATATATATATATATATATATATATATATATATATATATATATATATATATATATATATATATATATATATATATATATATATATATAGCTTTAAAGACATCCAATATTTTGAAACATATTATAGACAGAATTTAGCTGCCATCTATTTATTTTTATTTATTTATCCTGTTTGTTTCTCATGTGTTTGTTTTGTTTTCTTAGGTTAGGCTAAAACATAATTGTGTATATTCCCTGCGGTCCCCAGTGAGATCTGTCTAGGAAACGGTGCTAGGATTTTTGCCGACGTGACACCTTCTATCAGAATGTGATCTGAATTAAAACAGTTTTGGTGAGAAAATCCTACTTTATAAACTGAAATCGTGAACCACGTGGCAGATACTGTGCACACACACGCTCTTTCCCTACCTGCTGCAACATCTCTCTCTATAATTTCAGCAGGCGTTTCCTGCCTGGTATCCAAGTCTTCCTCGGCTGCGTCAATGTCCAACATCTCCTTCAGCCTGTCGGTCACCTCGGACAGGCCTTCGTCACTGAACTGGTAGTCACACACACAGACTGGCCCGCTCGCTTTTAGCGGACAGAAGATACGACGAGGGAGAGAGAATTGCTCTAAAAAGGGAGATATGGAGAGTCAGAGGCACAGTGAGAGGAGAAGAAGACATGCTTTGTTAATCCTGCAAGGGGAAATTCAATGTTTTTTTTAATTAGTAACCTAGAAGCTCACAGTGTTTACATCTTATTTTATTTTTGTGTTAAAATCATTGGATCCTTTTTTCTCTGTGTTGAAGGCTTTGTTTTAGCTACCGAGTGAGGCATCTCACTTCTATTCGATCTTTTTTGGGTGTTGCACATGCAAAGTACCTAGGTAAGGACAACTAGCCAATCAGAAGCAGAGTAGGGCGGGTCCTGACAAGCCAGTAACCAGGTCGTTCAGCCATACGAGATCCCTAACCAGCTAAGCAACCTAAACTGGAGTTTTAGAGTGGTAAGTTATTTATTTGGAACACATTTATCTTCCTTACATATCGTTTTAACTACATCACAGTAACAACTTTATGTCCATTGTCTGCCTGGAAGGTTTCTAACGTTCGGTAGGGAGGGTGGAGGTGAGTGGAAGCAGCGTGCAGACGTCAGCTCAGTGGGTTTCTCTTTTTGGGGGCTAGCCGCTAGGCGAGCATTATGATGCTCGTTACAAAGTGACACAGATAGTTTACAGAAGTAAAGGCTGGACTAGAATCCAGCTCCAGACGGAGTCGCTGTTCCATATATGGTCACGTGCTCCCACAATATGGGCAGGGCAACGCTCAGTCTGCCTGTTCCGCCCAGCAACAACAGCCTGCTAACATGTCTCAGGTCTTGGCCAATCAGAAGACAGTAGACTTTGAGAGGGGGTGCCTTAAAGAGACAGGAGCATCTACAGCTTGTTTCAGATAGAGGCTGACATGAAGGCCTACATGTCAGTATTAGAAATATAAATTTTTTTTGGAACTTTGAATCATGCAAAGCTGCCATACAGGAGTCACAGAACTACAATATAGGACTCGAAAAGCAGTATAAGCAGTATCTTTGCTGGGATTGGTTGATCAAACTCTGGTTAGCCTTCTGTGTGTGTACCTGTCTGTTGCTTGTTTCTGCTGCTGCCCTTGCTCTCCTCCTCCGATATCTGCAGCTCCTCCAACAGCATCTGAACCCTTGTGGCCACCGTAGAAACCACATCCCTCTTCAGCAGCTGCCCACATTGAAGATTTTATTACAAAATGGTGGATCCTTCATTCGGGTTTTAATTTGTGAACGTCTACTGAATTAAAGCATTACCTTCTCGGCCAGTTTGGCCTTTGGTTTGTTGCTGTGAATGTAAGCTCTGCTGTGGATCGCGTCTCTGACTGACACGCTGCCTCCACACTGCCGGACCACATCTGTTGACCTCTGGTCGTCCTAACACACAGGGAATCACGGTCCTCTTTTATGAACAGCATGTACAACAATTCATTAAGCCATGATCAATGATTTTACCAAACCCTGAAGTAGCATTCACAAAGGAGTCACTGGCAATACATACACACCGATCAGCCATAACATTATGACCACTCACAGTTGAAGTGAATGACACTGATTATTTCTTGTTTCTAAGATGTTGCCTGTCCGTTGGTGGGAGATATTAGGCAGCAGGTGAACACTGTGACCTCATAGCTGATGTGCTAGAAGCAGGAAAAAAAATAGGCAAGTGTAAGGATATGAAAAAAAAAAATGGGCCAAACTGTGATGGCTAGACACCTGGCCATAGCATCTCCAAAACTGCAGCTCCTGTGGAGAGTTACAGGTGTTGTGCAGAGTTTTTGCATGCCCGCCAACAATTGCATGCACCTTGCATATATGCTGAGAAAAGATGCAAATCTCGGCAGGTAGCCTACATCATCTGTTCTGCCCAATTATGCATCCACCTCTTCCTTTTCAGACACACTGATCAAACGTGGTTATCACCCCATATTGTTGCTGAATCTCAAGGAATGCTACTTCTACTAAGTGTAATAAAATATAGACGACTCTCAATATTCATAAAATATATATTTTGAATCATTTATCACCACTGAACAGCCACCCACAAACAGTTACCTACTTGGAGGTGCATGCAATTCTCCGCGGGAATGCACAACACTGGCCTGCATTGATCAGTACCAACCAAAAGTGGTCCAAGGAAGGAAAAGCAGTGATCCGGCGACAGGGTCATGGCCGGCCAAGGCTCACGATGCACGTGGGGAGTGAAGCCTGGCCCGTGTGGTTCGATCCAACAGACAAGCCACTGAAAGTTAAATTGCGGCTCAGGGCTGTTTCAGCAGCAAAAAGGGAGGCCTACATTATGACCAGCAGGTGGTCATAATCTCATGGCGGATCGGTGTATACATATAGTGTTTATACAGTATACAACATTCAATGCAATTCATTTTTAGTGAAAATTGGAAAACTTTTATTACATTTTCAAAAGTGGTGGACAACAAAACTATTCCTTATTGTGACATGTAGTTGTTAAGCCAAACGTGTGTTTTTGTAAGTGTGTTTATGTCTCTTACCGGAGTGATGAGCAGCTGAGCTGTGTACGACTGTCTCACATTCCTCCTCTACAGAGAAACATCAGAGTAACACAGTGGGAAAAATTACTCCTGTCTCTCCAGAGAATCAGATAAGGGAATCATTTTTGGGGAGTGTTTTTGTTATATTTATATTTATCCATATTTGTATAGCATGACGAAGCCACGATGGGCATCCAAACTACTTATGATGTCACAAATCCTGCTCGAACCCACACGTCTTAAACTGAGAATTAACGTGAGCACAGAGAAACGTTCCCTCCTCGGCAGATGAAAGTGAAATCACCCCAAAGTGCCCTTGAGCAAGGCTCTAAAAATATAGGTTTGTTAGCGACTCGCGTTTAGGTAAATACAGGTTTTATAGATTTCCTTTCTCAACTGTTTTTTTGAGTGTTGATTAGATTTGTATAACCTGTCCGGCTGAGAGCTCTGCGTCCTCCGGCAGCTTTTTCCCGTCGATCAAACAAACTCCACTTTGAATCTGGTGCGCCCACACTCTTAGTCCCTCCTGAAACAAAGCATGACCTGAGAACAGTTCCACTGAAGCACACACTGCTTATTTGTGTGTGAGTGTGTGGGGAGTGTAAACGCACTAACCTTAAGACATTTATCCATGCTTTCTGTATTGGTTCCGTTGTCTGGTAGTGGTACCAACAAGTCCACATTTAAACAGCATGACACCACGCTCCAGGAGGAAGACACACCTGACTGGTACTTCCAGTCAGCAGGCTTGGCCATGCTCTGGAACGGCATATCAAACACAACCTCCTCAGTTCAAAACCATTTATATTGCAAATTTTAGGAATTAAATGTAAAGGTTTGAGTACGTGTAACGACTGCAGATGGAACTTGTTGCTTTGTGAGGAATGAAAGCTGCAAACTAACCTTGGGATCTTTGATGTCAAAGGTTCTGCAGACAGTTCTGATATGTGGGGGTTAAAGAACATCCACACACGGTATCTGGTGGCTTCCTGATCCAGTGAGAAGGCTGGGTAAAAAAAGGATACTTCCTGGTTTTGGGGTTGACGTGCAGTGCGACGCAGTCTGTGGCGTCGTCATCTGCAGGGATCCACAGATGCTCTGAGGAGATCAGGTTCTCCACTGCAAAAACCAGCTACACAAACACACACAAGGATCAGATTAATCTAACACACTCACAGGTACATGAACGTAACCCAAAGCAGATGTGAAAATGTCCTTCCAGAGCTTCCTTTCCAGATCATTACTGTACATAAAGCATTTATTTCACTTTGTTTCAAATGAACGCTATTGTTGCTCTGTGTCTGCTGGATGTGTCAGTAGGTAACACATTTCTTCCTGCCTTACTGAGAGGAGTTTTTCAGTTGCTGCTGTTAACTAAATATTATAAAGAGTACGACCTAGACCTGCTCTATATGAAAAGTGCAATGAGAGAACTTTTGTTCTGAATTGGTGCTATATAAATAAAACTTCATTGCATTGTGCTTCCTTATTTGAAACTCTGTATTGTGGTGTGCCAGAAGGTTCTGTCCTGAGTCTAGGGCTGCGCGATATTAGAAAAAAACAAAAACAGATGACTTTAATTGCTTTATTCAAAAAAATTTAAGCATCCTAGAATTGTTGGGATGATTTTTGTGGGGGAAAATGCATAGAAAATAAATAAGCTGAACATTTTACTTTTAGTCTGAAGGGCGTTTTGAGTGCATACTATCCTTTCTTAAGCTTTAATGCATTAAACATATTTTTAACAATAAAGAAAAAAGCTTTTTTTCTTTATCTTTTTTGTATTTCTTTTTCTTTTCTGTTTCTTTTTCGGCTGGGTTTACAAAACCACTTAGTGTGACAGACTTGTAGATTAGTCATGGAAAATGAGCACCGTGTGAGTTTTCCTTTTTTGTATCCAGCAGCTAAAAAATTAAGTTTGAGGTTATTTGACTTGCTTGACATTGCATGTCCTGCGATGTGACTGTTGCACATGGGCACATTGTATAAGCTTCCCCATGCACAGAAAATAATTGCTTTAAACGTATCTCCAATCACTGCGATGCGAGACACTTAACCCCTAGATGCTCCAGAGGCGTGCGACCTCTGACATATATGGCAATTGTAAGTCGCTTTGGATAAAAGCTTCAGCTAAATGAATAAATGTAATGTAATGGAAATTTGTGTACTATCGGCCGATAATTTATTAGATCAATGATTACCGTGCATCCCTAACACATATAGTGTGTTTACATGAATCTCACCTGACGGAGTGTGGTTAGTGTGTCCTTGGCATCAGTATCAGCAATGATGAAGACTCCCAATACAGACAGTCCTCCAGGCAGCATCCTAGACAGCTGAAAACCAGAAGCATGTTTACAGTTTAAAAGCCTGCAGAACCACTTCAGCTGTTTTGTCATTTAACACCATGCCTTTGATTCTATAATTATCATTACATGGAGCTATTTATGTATTTTAACGACTTCTACCCTGTGAAAGTTTTTCTGTTGTTGTTTTTGTTCTGCTCATTATCATTTGTTGACTGTTTAAGGTCCTTGTACCAGCAAAGCGTGTCCCAGTATGTTCTCCCCGCTCTGAATTATTAATACTCAAGACCACACGAGCGCGTATCAGGGTATCGTTCTTCTTCGCCTACCTGTCGAGCATGCTCAGTCACAAACTCCTTGTCCGAGAGTTACCAGCTGCTGAAGTAGACCCCTCCCTCTGAGGCGTCCGAGCTGCCGCGACGACAAAATCCCTTTGGGTGGAGCTCTGAAATGTTTAGTGATAAATATAAATCTCTATTCACTCCACATCCAGTCATGCATGTATATCATGAAATACAACACTTCAAACAAAACCTAGACCCTTGTTGACAGATACATAAACCAGTTTACAACATCATTTTCTCTACAGCAGTCAGGGATATCTTGCTTTTTTGATAGCAAACTGTTATATCTGGTCTGATGCTGTATTCTGAGCTGGAAGGAAACCAAACAAGTGAGCAAAATCTGATCTACAGACAGATGTTATTGTTGTGTGACCTTACCTGTCCAATCAGCAGCCTGTGACTGGACCTGCGTTTGTTCACATAGTTTGGACAGATATCCTTCCACAGAATCTTCTACTATATAGCCACGCCCCATAACGCCTAATGAGGGAGTGGTAAGAGATGGAGAGGTGATACAACATATACATACACAACAACGCCACTGTTTTAATTTATATCAATATGTCTGCAATGAGAAAGTGTTGGGGGAGGGAGCTGTGGACGATCATGGCTAAACAAGTGACGACTTCACAAAAGGCGTCACATTTCATGTTATCTACAAAAATTCAGTTCCAATTTGCAGCTTCCGAAATGGCAGTTAAGAGAAAAGTTAAGGTAGAATCAGGTCCAGATCAAAAAACCACAATGCCTAGAGCTGTAAAATCGGACAGAAGCTGATTAATTTGACAGCCCTTGGCAATGTGTTTTTTTAACTGCAACTGGTCTAATATGGCCTACATGTAAAAAAACAACAACAACAACATAAACTAAACAAAATTATAAACACAAAACTTTTGTTTTTGTCCCCATCCATCATGAGCTGAACTCAAAGATCTAAGACTTTCTCTATGTACACAAAAGGCCTATTTCTCTCAAATACTGTTCAAAAATCTGTCAAAATCTGTGTTAGTGAGCACTTCTCCTTTGCCGAGAGAATCCATCCACCTCGCAGGTGTGGCATATCAAGATGCTGATCAAACAGCATGGGATTGCACAGGTGTGCTTTAGGCTGGCCACAATAAAAGGCCACTCCAAAAAATGTGCAGTTCCATCACACAGCATAACGCCACAGATGTCACAAGTTTTGAGGGAGCGTGCAGTTGGCATGCTGACTGCAGGAATGTCCACCAGAGCTGTTGCCTGTGAATTGAATGTTCATTTTTTCTACCATAAGCCATCTCCAAAGGCATTTCAGAGAATTTGGCAGTGCATCCAACCGGCCTCATAACCGCAGACCACGTGTAACCACACCAGCCCAGGACCTCCACATCCAGCATCTTCACCTCAGCCACCCGGACAGCTTCTGCAACAATCGGTTTGCATAACCAAAGGGTTTTTCCTCAAACTGTCATGGAACCGTCTCAGGGAAGCTCATCTGCATGCTCGTCCTGACTGCAACTAAGCACAGCCATTGAAGAGGAGTGGACCAACGCTCCACAGGCCACAATCAACAACCTGATCAACTCTGTGCGATCCTGACTGGTTTCTGGACCCCCACAATACAATGAAACTGCACATTTTTGCAACATAAGGGTTGCGTTTATAACTTTGTTCAGTTTATAAATTGTGTTTTTATTTTCATTTTCACAAATACAATAAAGCGGGGTTTTTTTAATTAGCCTCTCAGGAATAATTGACAGCTCTTGGCATAGTGGTTTTTGATCTTGACCTGGTTTAATGCAGTCTATATACAAAAAACCAACATAAATTTTCGTGTTTTTTGCATTTTCCTAAATACAGTAAGACCTTTAAAAACTTAAGCCTCTCTTCGAAAATCTAGTCCAGATTTGACAACTGTAAGCCTAGTTTTTTTTTCTTTTTTTTTTTTTTTTTTGGACCTGATCTAATGCAGTCTATATGCGAATAAAAACATACATTTTCACTATTACAATTAAAGGTTTCACAAATGAGACAATTATTAAAGAGACTTTAGCCTCTCTGGGACAATCTTGTCCACATTCGACAGCTCTAGATAGTGGTTTTTGATCTGGACCTGAGCATCCCTTAACTTTCCTCTAACTGCCGAATCAGAAGCTAACTTAAGGGTCATATTTGACGACTTAATTAAAATCAACAAGTTGTTAAACCACGTAAAACATATGTACAGTTGAGTGCTAACAGTATCTGCCCCTCTGACTTTAGCTAGCCGATTTACTACAATTACAATTTACTACATTCAGCAGACGTTAGCTGGTCGAAGCTGCTATTTAAAACAGTTCCTCCAGCTTGAACTTAAAGAACATTGTTCACCTACCGAGAGACAGAAAGTAAAATGTGAACCAGGAGGCAGGTAGCTTGCTATTTCATGTTGACAGCAGGCAGCGGTTCGTCAGCACAGCACAAAAAACTCATTTTACAACAATGCTTTGCGCTGTGACGATATGACGCTATGACGCTGTGACGCTATGGCGTACTTCCGTCGCGCGTCTGGATCGTAATCGAAAAGTTACCAACAACTAAAGGGATGAATGAGGTTTATTTATCTTCAGGATAAATTGGGAAGCTGGGAACATCATCCCAACACTTTTTGAAAGCATTTGTTCAAAATATAAAAACATAATAGATGATAATGCAGAAATCAGTCCTCTGTTTGTTTGTTTTTTAGCTAAAGTTGCACATTTTGCTTCTATATTTACATTCCATGTTTATTATTGTGCAAATAAATCTTCCCCAAATGCATTTTCATTTGTTATTAAAGATGAGATAATGTAAAATGTACCTTTATTAATCCCCCAGTGCACAAATAATTTATTTGCCATGTTGACTTAATTTGGAAGTGTTGGTTGTTTTGGGGTAAGTTTTTACAATAATAAAAAAGCTTTACCGGGCTCTTTAGATGTTTTTTTTTCTCTCACTATTTTGCCCTGTCTCATGCACAATAAGAGTAATATACACCCAAATCATAACATTTTTAAATTTGGTTAACATATTAATATTTTGTTATGTAAAAGATCACTTAACTTGAGGGCACTGATGATTTGGTAATAAAAACACATTTTTATTTATTAAAAAAGAAGAGTTTGCCCTTGTCCGTTAAATGATTGTCCACCCTGTGAAATTGTGGAATCCCCCCATTTAAGGAAAGTCCATCCACTGTAGTGACATCGCGACCATAGTTTTTTTGTCTCTTCAGTAGTGGGACGTTCAGTGGTAGAGTTGAGGGAGTTGCTGACTTTCCAATAGAAATTTTACTTTTGCCAAAGCTTAACACGTCCACCCTGTCATCTTGATATTTCAAAATAATAATTAAAATAATAATTCAGTCACACCACACATGATCCATTGCGTTAAATAGCTAAATGGGGAAGGGGCAATAACATGCAGATAAAAAACTACATCCAAATATCACAGTTTAATCCAAAAGAACAAAAGAATATGTGTGCAAATAGTATGAGATACATTTTTTTAATAAATTTAAAGATTTGAAAGCAAATTCATAGCTCTGATTTTGTCAACGCTCCAAATGTCAACCCATAATTATCTAACATGTGTGGGAGCTCAGCTAATATATATTTCTACAACTTATGTGTCTAATATTTATGACTACACAAAAAGTAGTGTTAAGGTTGAAGGCACTCTACGGTGACATTGCTATAAATATATACACATTGTATACACACTATATACAATTATTTACAATTTATAGAAAGCCAACAATTCCAACCTTGAGCAAGATAAAGTCAAAAACATAATCAAGTCTTTTTATTTGCGTGCTGTGGCGTTGTGGAGGCTGATGGCTGAAGGAACTAATGAGAATTTGTTTTTTTACTTTTCTTGTCGCTATTTTTCAGAACAGAACTAATGCTTTCAAAAAGTGAGGGGGATAAAATCAGCCATTTCAAAACGTTGTGAGGACATGTCCCCCTGCGTAAATGACGCCTGTAGTTTTTCACTTTGCTCTGTGATCTAACTTGATTGTCAAAGATTGTTTTATTTTGAAAGTTTAGAGCGGATATGACGCTCTCTCAGTAAGTGATCAGCGGGTTTGCGGATGGTGAAACAGCCAAACATTCTTTTTATACCGGAGTTTGGTGCCGATTTACTGTTTAATATTTTGGGGGGCGGATAGGTGGAGATGGCGGCCGTCCTGCTGCAGGTTCTGGAAAGGACGGAGTTGAACAAACTCCCGAAAGGCGTCCAGAACAAGCTCGAGAAGTTTGTAACGGAGCTGCAGAATGCTAACGAGGAGCTCAGGACGCAGCACGAGCGGTTCAAAGCAGACAGCGGTAGGTAGCTGCAACTAAGTAAAAATGAGTTAGCTAATTTTCTAGCTTGTAAGCTTTTATAGAAACCTCATGTTAACATCCAGAATGCTATAAAGCTGTCTTCTGGTGAATTCGGCAAAAAAATAAAAACCTATGTTGTTTGTGATCCACAATGCTTAACCGACAACGGCATGCTAACGTTAGCTAAGTTACGGTGTCACAGTAAGGGCAGGCTAACTTTGGCGGAAGATAAATAACGTTATTTTATTGATGGAATTTGGTGTGGTGTGATATCTTCGGAAATCAGCTAGGGCTGCACTAAACGAGTAATTTAAAAAGATGTCGATTAATCTAACGACTGACTTATTTTTTTTTAATTACTGTATCAATATGACAACTCATTTATCCAAAATAAATTTTAAAAACATCTAATTTATAATTCAATATTTTACTCAATCCTCTTGAAAGAGACACACAATGCACTTTAGAATAATAAAAATATTAATAATAATGAGGTTGATTTATACAGCACTTGCTCTACATTTAAAAACATTTCAAAACAGAGGCAAATTAAATCAAGCAATTCAAAATTACATAAAGTTAAAAGAAATAAAATTCTGCAACAGTGATGCAGTAAAAATGGAAATAGTGTGTGTGTGTGTGTGTGTAGATATAGTAGAGATAGAGATAGAGATATAGAGATAGATAGATATATGGATAGAAATGGAAGAATACACTAAAATTAATAAAAGGCTTTTTCTTGGTGTCTTGAGAAATGATTGAAAAGATGTTCCTGCCGTCCATGTCATTTCTGTGTTATGATACTAATAGTAATAATAACAGACCCTACTTGTCTATAGTTGGCCATATAACTACGCACTGCACCCGACTCTAAACCAATGCTTAATGCTGAAAAAAAGATAAATTCCCATATATTTAATAAAGGCTTGTCTGTTTTTATATTTGTTATAAATTCAAGTGAATTTTGGTGTGACATTTTTAATTTTTTAACTTTACTGAAAAGCAGCTCAGCTGAATTTATGCCCTTGAATTCTGGATTAGGTTAATTCTGGTAAAGTTTAAGAAAAATGTGTTTTCCCATAAATCTATCCTACAATAAAATTATTCCACTTCATTGAGTCAATCTTAGTTTGCAGTTAAGAGTCATAACAATATGATGGTCAATAATAGGGCTGAACAATTTTACTAAATTTCTAGTTGTGATTATTTTGACTGATACTGCAGTTGCAATATGATTTGCGATATTGGAGGGAATAATAATTTTTTCCTAATTATTCTATGTTTCATTGGAAAACACATTTAATTGATTATGGTGGTATTTTTGCAAGGATCTGTACCAAACAAAGATGATTTTTCTGAAGTCTGTAGAATATGATGTGTAGCCCGGGACATCTCTGCAGCACGTCAATATTTAATTTAAAATGGTATGTTTAACAAATATTGCACCTCCTGCGAGTTGAAAATTGCAGTAGGCTGTAATGCAATTTCAATTAGATTTCGATTAATTGTTCAGTCCTAGTCATTAATATTAAAAATCTGCAATCTAATCGTGTGTCCTTTTGCACAATATGATGACAGTTTACAGAGCTGTTAAGCTGCTGCTGATAAAATCTGTTGCTATTTCAAACTAGTCTGTCAATAGACAGACGGTAGTGAAATACATTTGTCCGTGGAGTTGTAAGATGTGTACTGTGTGCTCATGTAATATGTCAAATGCTCTCTGCCCCTACAGAACAGCAATACTTTGATATCGAGAAGAGACTTGCAGAGAGTCAGGACCAGATCCTGTCTGCTACCAGAGACCTGCAGACACTTAAGGAGGAAAATAAAAAACTCAGTGAGTTTTCACAGACATGCTATTAACACACACTTTCCTATCTTCAGTTATTGAGGAAACAGTGCTTCAAGTCAGCAGCGGCTGGCTTAAGGCTTGCTTCTGTTATGGCAATTTGATTTTTCAGATCAACAGCTTAGGCAAACACTTGTCTTCTGCAGAAGGACTCACAGCAACACACAAACGGTGTATACATGTGTGCTCGAATTAGTAAAGAGAGCTCAGTAAGTCTGTTATTTATCCACCGTCGGAGTCAAACTTATCATCCCAAAGAGACACGTTGTCCCTGAAGTCTGGATAACACCGAGAACCGAGATATTTCGACTGTTAGGTTTACGCAGCACATTAAACATGAGTCTCACGGAGTTCAGGGTTACATATGTTTGGAAATGGTATTTATGGAATGCCCATTACACTTTTTAATTAATAATTTTGCTGAAATTATCCATTCTTCAATCCACTGTGCTTTTGTCTTGAAATGGATTAAGGGTTTAACAACAGTAAAGCATTAAAATGTCACAGAACAAGGTTAATTGTTAAATATGTGTTCTGCTTTGCTAGATACAGTCAACAGCTACAGCTTCCATGTTTTCACTGATTGTAAAGTTGTAAAATGATACTGATTTAATATACTTTCAAAAAGCAAGGTCCATTTATCAGTGAAGAAAATCCGCTGAATGAAAAACTTAAGATTAATCCAAATTTGGATGAAGAGAGCACCAGACTGTAACTGGCGTGCTGTCTTGGCCAAGTCTCCCTTGAAAAGAGATGGAGTCTCTAAACATCAAGTTGAACAGACCTGGGCTTTCCTGTTTTTCTGGGCCTCGTTGTGAGCTTAATGTTTCTCTCTGTGCAGACGAAGAGCTGAGCACTTTGAAGGGAATAGAGGGAGAGACCTCTGAAGACAAACAACCACAACAGGTGTGTTTATTATTTTCTGTTGATCGTTGTAATTAAAATATGTAATGCATCAGTCTGTCATGTGTGTCATTTATGACTGATTAGTGTGTAGTGTAATGTAGGGATGCACCAAAATTCTTGTCCAAAGCCAAAATCGAATATAATGAAAAAATTAGTAAGTAAGGAAATTCACATTTTTTCCCCATTTATTTTGCCTTTTTTCCCCCATTGCATAAATTAAACAGTCAAAATGAGCTTTTTACTCAGTGTTTCCCACAGGATGTAGAGAGACTATGTTGGGGGGGGGGGCACCTTATTTTGAAAACCGGATGTTGTCACATGTGTTTCCTCCTCGCGCTAAATTCATCAAGTCCGACCCAGTTTGATAAATAATGTTGTATGTGGTTCTCGTAC